CACACCACATGGACTTTCCCCAACCTGCTTAGTATTGTCTCTGCAATTCCTTTGGCTTCTACCCTTAGGGCCTTTTGCTGTTCTCCTATAGTTTCCTGGGTCTGTGTCCACTCCATATTTGGTCTAGCACCCCCCAAGTAGGTGAGATGTTCCCCAGGCCTAGGGGTTTCAGAATATTCCTCTTGTGTCCCCCTCAGTGCCCCCTGAGAAGTGCTCACTCCCTGGTTAAGGTTAAATTATTGTCACAAAATGGTGCAGGGCCAGCCTCAGGGAAGGGCTCCAATGCGTGGACCAAGTTCATGAGAATAAGGGAATGGAAGTCTGAGTGGGCTTGTCCTGAGGGGCCGCATCAGAGCATCTGCCCAAAAGGAAGAAATCTGTATGTGAAGGGAGTTGGGGTACCACAAATAGGAAGAGGATAAGACCAGTTACTCAGTTACTCATTGTGGGTGGGCAGCCGTGAACAAAAAGGCAACAGTCTAAGGAACCTGCTTGGGCACAGTCAGCCCTGAGAAGCTAGTCCAAACCCACCTCTTGTGGTGCCCAGGCAAAGCATGAACGAGAAAGGAGAAGTGTGAGCTGTAGATGCCAACAGGAGTGCAGACCTACCAGAGAAACCCTCACTCAGGGCCAGGAAATATAGTAGACGGCCAGGAACCTGAGCAGAGAGAAATCTCAGATTATAATACTGCCTGTCACTTCACTGGCCATGCAATGCTAAATTCCATGGCCAGACACTGGCTTGACTTTGTCTCGGACATACTGTGCCTTTAGTTGAATTTAGGTCTGAAACCATCAAGTTTAAGTTGTTCAAGTATCTTCTAATTCGCTTGTGCCACTAGGAAATCTTTGTGAATCAGTTAACACTTGGACTCCACCAATGCTCCTTCCAATATGGAAATTTTTCTGACTTCCTTTTCCATTCCATTTAGTCCCTGGATGCTAACCTCAGATCTTTTTACAAAAATACCTCCTCTCCTTCCAAGGTGACTCCGAGTGCCTGGCTCTGAGTATGATAGTTCCCCAATTGATTTGGATCATTCTTCTCTAGTTCACTTTCCCTGCAGCACGTTCAAGATCTTGGCTTCTCATTGCTTCTCTCTTCCATTCAGGCTTTAACATTTTCATGCTTAATGTTTTTTTTTTCCTTCTGTCTCTTTAATCCGAATGTTAAATCTTGATGGCCTGCATTATCAGTGATATAGAGTCTCAAGTAACTCTACTACATGCTGTTGTAGAGACTGATGTATTTGAATTGCTGCTAACAACAGGTATAAAAAAAGAAGACCTTCTGGCATTTTTGAGCAGAACTTTAGACCGAGGTTATCTTTACTGAGCCTCGTATTTTTCCTCATTTCTCCTAGTAATGGCCTTCCATCAGATACATACCATTAGACCCTAGAGGCTGAACAGAATCTTGGGTCGTCATATCTGCACCCACACAAAGGCTCATTCCTCTCCTGCAGAGGGTGCTGCAAGGAGAGTGGGTATTGCTGGAGACTCAATAATTCTGCCAGACCTCACCATGGAAGCTCAAAACGTCCCTCCTCTCTTTCTGATGACCAGAGGCTGAGCTAGGAGAGAACTTATTCCTCCCGTGACCCTGCACTGCTATGGATACCTGGCTTCTATTCTGGGTGATTCTTAGTGTCCTGAAAGCAGGTAAATCCTTAGGACTCTAGGAAATGCTCATCTTGGGCTTACCTAAGGCAGTTTTAAACAATTATCTTAATCTTCTTTCTTTTCTCACAGGACACACACAGCCTAAAGTCACCCAGACCCCGAGCCATCACAGAGATGGGACAGAGAGTAATTTTAAGGTGTGATCCCATTTCTGGTCACTTATACTTCTACTGGTACCAACAGATCTTGGGGCAGAAAGTGGAGTTTTTGGTTTATTTCTTTGATGATAAGATCTCAGAGAAGTCTGAAATATTCGACAATCGATTCTCAGTTGAAAGACACAATGGATCATATATCACACTGAAGATCCAGTCCACAAAGCTGCAGGACTCCGCTGTGTACTTCTGTGCCAGCAGCTAAGCCACAGCCTTGCAAAGGCACTTCCAGCCTGTGCAAAAACCCTTGTGGGCCTGTCTCACCCTCAGATACCAGCACCCCTCTCCTGCCCAAGAGAGGAAGTCTTGTTGGGTTTGTTGTTGTAGCTGTCTCCAAATAGACCCATTTGAAATTAAATTGCCAGGGTTAGGGTATATTGGTCAGAAATGGTCAGAGGCCACGGAATTTGTGGAATTTTTACAAACACCACAGGGTATGACTGAGGGCTCCAAAGATGGGATAGTAGTTTCCTAAGAAATGATCAAGCAACCTATGTCTTCTTTTTATTTCCATTTTGCTATTCTTGTTGGCACTTTTTATTAGCTTTAGTTGTTTAGGAAAATATTTTGATGCATAGGATGGAGAGATAATGACTGAGTTGTTGCTCAGGTAATTTATAGGAAAGTATAGAGGATCCCTGATGGAAATTTTCAGAAAGACAATGTGCGCAGAACAAGAACTTCAATATCAATCCATTTTGCCCTGCATGTGGTGAAGAGTAGAACTACCTGATGAGCTTGTCACAACTGGTGATGCATTTGGGAAAACAATGTTAGCCCACATGAGAATGAGATAGAGAAGAGTAACTGTGGGGACCAATTTTAGGACACCATTTCAAGACCAACAGAGGTCTAGACCATCAAGAGAATCAGCAGAACGAAGCCAGGCAGTTCAGGAACAGCATTCAGCAGCAAAAGTCAATTGGCATCTAGAGCTAGAATCAGCAATGGTATCTAGAGCTAGAATCAGCAATGAATTTTTCACTCTCAACTTAACATGGGGTTGCCAGATTAACATCCTGGGTTTCAGTTTATGACCCCAGTATTCTTGACGAGTTGGGATGGAGAAGGTGGAAGGAAGGATTCAAAAGGGGAACAAATGCATTTCCTTGTAATAAGTCAGGATGAACTTAAGCAACACATGGGGGAAAAATATGTGAGCAGGTCATATCAGCTATAAACACCTAAATTCATTTACTCATTTAATTTCTTGCCAGCACTACTGCTATGGAGGCTTAAAGAATGACTGATTGACTGACATGAGTTCCCACACAACTTTCCCTCAGAAAAAAGAATCTCATTTTATGGTTAAGAAATGGAAATAAGGGTTTCTGACCATGGAATACAATTTATTTTTTCCCTTTGTGTACTGCATCACTCAGAAGCATCTGGCCTCACAGAATAAAAAAAAAAGTACCTATTAAAGGTTCAGCTAAGATGCCATCTCATAAATAACACTTGTGGGACTGAAGTGACATTATCTGGTAATGTGACATACGTTGCAGCATTGACTGAAATATGGTGCTGTGTGCCCAATGCACGAATGCAAAGGCCAAAGGGCGGAAGCAGGATTATGACACTTCCCCTCATCACTCCCAGTGATCTAGTTGCACATTTGTACTTCCCGCCTCTGCATTTTTGGGGTCTTCCATGTAAGAGACACTGATTTCTGAGGGGGAAGGAATTGAAGGAGATAGATGCTCCCACCACAGGTTATAATACGGATTCCATTGAACCTGAGCAATTAATTCACTTGGGGGTCCTCTCGCTGGGAAACCAACAGGCAAGGATGAAAATGCTTGATCTTGATTGTCATGAGGTTGTAGATTTGCTGCCACACAATGGGAACAGAGAAAGGTTTGTCTGGAATTCAGAAAGCTAACTCAAATGTCACTTGGTGCTTTAATTCCTGATGAGAATGATAATTTTTGCAGTTGCAGCAATCAAGCATGACAAAGTAAAAGAATGTAAGGGCTTAGAACCCTAAGAGTTGAGGCTCTGAGTCACCTCATTAAACAAATGGCTTAGACCACTGAAGTGTGGAGCAAAGTTGAAGAACATATGACATTTGAGGTGGTGGGAGAAGATGATGGATATGAATTAATTGGGTACCAGTAATGGGCTTGCCCATAGCTTATTGTTGTAAACTTCTGTATTTGTACAGATTACGTCTAAAAACCACATTGAAGACCTGACTATTTGGACTTAGAGAATTTTATCAGCTGCCTCTATTGCCACCTCCTATCCCCTTGGTCCCACCTTTGATTCCAGCCACAGCTATGATGATGCACACTGTCTTGCAGACATTGACCACTCCATAGTTACTGCACCTCACCTTAAATGTGGCCATGTATTCCCACAGTACTCTGTTTCTGTGGCATGAGACACATTGGTAAGCAGCATGGCACTTAGGTGTACACAGCCCTGAAGTGTGAGGACAGTCCTCAAGCATTGGAGAATGAGAATTGATGAATAATAGCTTTTGCATTAGTCTCAGTTTCCTTAAGAAGGCCTGGATTTATTGCCACCCACCCATCTATACTGATGGCCCGATTAATATGCTTTCCTTTGTATTTTCTCTTTTGTTTCTCTGATTTGGTCTGGATAATTTCATCTGACTTATCTTCTACATTATGTGTTCAGCCTTATATACTTTCCTTTTAACACGTATATTAAATTCTTAGTTTTGGGTATTTTCTATATTACGGTTCTAGAATTTTCATTTAGATTTTGATTGCAGTTTCCATTTGTCTGCTAAAATTTTCATTTTGTCATCTATTTTGTTGACTGTATTTATATTAGCTATTTTAAAACCAGTGTCAGATAACTCTAATATCTGACTCTGTTTGGGTCTTTTTCTTTTATCTGTTTTCTCTTCCTGGTTTTTGGTCAAGTGATGTTGTTTTCTTACACAACCAGCAATTCATCTGAATGCAGGAAGTTGCATGTAAAAAAAATTATAGAGAAAAATGGGGGCTTTGAATAATTTATTTGTTCTCAGAAAGGATTCATTTTTGCTAGGAAATTGCAACAGCTCACCTTAATTTAGGTGATGATTGAGCTTGATTAGAGCTGGGTTTCAGCCTTTATGATAGCTGTTCACCTTTGATCCTAGGGTGCAGCCATTTAAATTTCAAAGCAAATGCCTGGAGTATTTTTAACAGCTTAATTGAAGTGCAATTTGCATAACATAATATTTGCTTATTTATAGTATATAATTCAATAAGCTTTAGTATAGTTATGGGGATGGGCAACCATCACTATGATCCAGTTCTAAAACAGTCCCATCTCTCCCCCTGAAACTTCTTTTGTGCTCATTTTCAGCCACTCCCTGCACCTACACCCTGCACCAAGGCCTGGGGTCTTTGCCAGGGTGCTCTCCCATTCAGTATTCACTAAACATAAATATTCTTTAGATCAGAAAGGTAATGGAACCTCCTCAAAATCAGTCACCTATCAGAATTTTCTTTCTTCTCAATTACTTCACAGATTATAATAATGTGGCAAATGACTTTAGAAAAAAGTAGTTTTTAACATTTATCTCTTCTCTTTAAGATATTGATCTCTGTAGTCTGTACTTTCTTGGTAACTTCAAACGCCTTTAAAGATTTATCTTTTATATTTTGACAAGTTTTTCTAGTTCTGCAGCAGTCTATTAACTCTGAAAGCAATTTTTATATTTTTAAAAGTGGGATGCTTTTGAGTACATTTGTATTTTGGGCGGAAGCTTCCTGACGGGAGGAAGGAGTGAAGCCTCTCTGCTCTCCCACTCATGTCCCGGTTTCTAAGACCTCTACCCCCCTGCTGTGTCTGGGCTACCTCAGGAATAAGTCTTGGCCCTTTTACCTTTTGGCTGCAAGGAGGCGCTGTGGCTCTACAGAGCTTCAGGTAACTCATAGAAAGGGCTCAGAGAGTTCTCTGGATGTGAGAGGGTTAAGAGAATGATTGGGTTTATTTACAAGGGACAGTGGGGTCTGCAAATGCTGTGAGCCAATGCTGAAATGTGAGGGGTTAAATTCAGACAATATGTTTTACATTAATGTGCAGGTGTTTTTGTCCCATCAAAGAGTCTGGTTTGCCAATCTTCTTGCCTGTGAATCTACATGAGATTGGAAGATTAGAAAGAAACTGGGAAGGGTGAGAGCAAACAAGATGCAGGTGGAGGACTCCTTCCTGAGAGGAATAAGAGAGGCTCTGGGGGCTGGACTCTGCTTGAGCTCAGCCCAGTCCTGCTGGGCCCTGCCTTGAAGTGAGCCCTGGGGATTCATAGGGATCTTGCAGAGACAGTAACAACTCAGGGAGATCAAAAAAACCCATCCCCACACTCCAGAATATCAGGGAATTAAGCTAGAAAGGCTTTCTTTCTTGTTACTCTTCTGAATGATCCTCTGTTTTCTTGGAGCAGGAGCATTCCAGCAGTGGCAGGAACCCCTCTCCTGGGTTTGAGCAAATGATTCTCTCAAAATAGCAGTCACAGACTGACTCCCTTCTGGGCTCTATCTCCAACATCTACCTTTAACTACCCAAGCTCACGGAAGCTATAATAGTAATGTCAAGATGTCAAAACACCTATAATGCCGAAATACCTAGAATTGGACAAGGAGGTGGCATAGACAAACATCCAGAATGCAGTTCTGAAACTGAATTTTTTGTTGGGAGCTGGCCACGGAGGCCCACTTAGCATTAGGGATCAGGAAGGTCCATTGACCCCGAGACCACTAGGATGTGTTCGGGAGCTATTGACCCCATTTCCTCCCCCTTTCCACTCAGCACTAACCAGATTAAGCTCCCGTGAGCTCAAAACATAAAAACTCTGAGACCAGGATGAACACAAGCTAACTTTAGAAGCTCATTGCTCCCATTCTTCCACAAACTGCAGTTTTGGCTTTCACACAACTTATAATTCAAACTCGGGTCACATCTAAAAGCTTAGTATTGGTCACAGGATTCTGGGTCATGATCTTAGGATTTATTGAAGTTGAATAAGGTGTAAATTGTAGAATATAGTTTTAGAAGACAGCCATTTTGTTGAAAGAATGCAGCTGGGTTACTTGCAGGTAGCCCACTGTGAACTTTGTACTGGGCCACAATCCAAACATTCTGGGACGGGCCATTTTAGTTTGTAAAGTAAGTACTTAAGTCTCTATAGAAGTGTTAAACTTGGTATTAGTATGAAAAGGGTTTATAGGCAATATGAAAAGGGTTTAAAGGCAGTCATGGATTAAGGTTTCATGGATTAGGTTATGGGATTATACCTGAAAGAACATCTGGTGGGTGGGGAATGCCCCTCATACACCTGACTGTGTATAAAAGACCAGTTGTAACTCCCAATAAATGGCTTCTGCACTAGACTGGAGTCCAGTCTCTTTCTTTCGCTCTCTTTCTCTCTTTCTTCCGCTCTCTTTCTCTCTTTCTTCTTCCCCCCAATCACTGATGCCGTCTTCACCTTTGGGGTACCCTGAACCCAACTGGAGCTGGTCTCTGGCAATTTTTCATTTTGTTTTCACAAGAATCTCCTGCTTCACCTTAAAAAATGGTTCTTGGAAATCCAAAAGTACAATAAAATTATATTTTACATAGGCTGCAGCTACTCAGCAGGAGAAAACTTCTGAATATATTTTACCGTGTATGTGTGTGTGTGTGTGTGTGTGTGTGTGTGTATAAAATAAGATTTCTAAAACTGAAAGTTTAGCCCAACAGTTTAACAGAAAAACTGCTAGCTCTTCTATGAAGGTTAATTCATCTTAGAATGGAACAAAAGAGTCTTCTAAAGCCAGCCAATTCATTTCTATACACTAAAATCTAAATTTTTTTAACTTTCTGTAGTAGGAGTTACTTTCAAATCTGTTAGAAGTTATAAACATCAGAAAATACATGAACACACATTTCTAAGCCCAATATTAAATATTCAAATTGACTTACTTTTACTTAAGGCCTGGGGATTCTGGGTCCCCCTAGACTTCCTCACAAAATGTCTATACCTTTTTCTCGGTAGCAAAAATAAGGTGACATAGTTACACTTTATAGTTAATAAATAATGTTTATGTGTCATGGCTTTGCATCTAATTTTTGTTAATTGTGGCTTCAAATGACTATAGACTAAATATTTATGATCCATATAATAATATAAATAATAACTATAAACACGTAAAGTGAATAGATGAGATTTTTTAAACAGCTAAGTAGGCAAATAACATGAAGTGATGATTTGTGAAAGTGAAGGACAAAAAGTCTATAACAGGATATCCCATTTGGCTTTGGTGTGAATTTCCATTTGGTTCACCTGCAGGTCTACAATCTAAACATTCAATTTAGGAAGTGTGATGGTATACATTGACTTTTGTATTTTTGTCAGCACCAAAGGAGAAATTTTACTAGGGCCAAGGTCACCACTAAAAGTTGCAGCCAGCTGAGCATGATGGAAGTGATGCCACAGCCCTTGTCCCCTTGCAGACCTGTGAAACGATTTTTGAGCACCAGTGGAGTGAGAGTCAGAATCTGATAACACCAAAATCTTCTCGGTACGCTGTTTCTAGGAAACTAAGTTTGACATGATTGAGCACAAGAGATTATTCTTCTATCTTCTTCTGCCAGAGCAATACAGCACAGCATCCACTCATGAGTTCTTAGGGAACTGGAGGAGGACGATGGTTCTGTGTTGTATTCTCATGTGAAGCCAAACAAGCAGAGGTAGTGAGAGAGATTTTGTTTCCAGAAGGAGAGGAATATTTTGCCTACAACACATCAACACACATGCTTTTCCTATTATGATCTAAATTATGCAGAATTGTCCAAATATAAGAAGGAGTTTGTATATTGGACAGCCAAAAATATGACCAATATCCACAGTATGCGTCCTGATATCACTGAGCCCACCTTCCCTTTGTTCTAGGGCTTCTCTGACCTTCTGCCTCATTCCCACTGGCTCTATGACTTCCCTCCGTGCTGTGGATTAAGTTATCGCCACAATAAAATTATTACATTTTCTTCCTTCATTTTCTTGCTTGATGGAGCCTGGCTCTTGCCAGGGATACTGGTCTCCATCCTCTCTTCTTTCTATACTGGAGTCCCCTACTCCAATATATTCAGTGCTGTCAGAAAAGAAGGCATAAGTTTCAGTTTCTTTGCTCCTTTATATCCTTGGGACAATTATTGATACATAATAAAATATTCAAACATTTTTGTTTTCCAATATGTGCATATATATATGTCATATATATATGTGTGTGTGTGTGTGTTTATAATACAAAACAACATTCAGAACTAACATTATCTCCTTTTTTTCTTTGACTAGGACTCTTACTGCGTGGCCTAGGTTGGAGTGCAGTGGTATGCTCACAGCCTTCACAGCTTCAACCTGCTGTGCTCAGGTGTCCCTTCTGCCTCAGCCTTCCAAGTAACTGGAACCACAGGCGTGTATCACCATGCCTGGCTAATTTTTTGATTCATTGTAGAGAGGAGGTCTCACAAAGTTTCCCAGGATGGGCTTAAACTCCTGGACCCAGGCAATCCTCTTGCCTCTGTCTCCCAAGGAGCTGGGATTACAGACAGCAGCCACCGCACCTGGCCTAACATTATCTTTATATATTTTTATTTCACCATCATTTCCAGAGTCTGTTCACCTAACTTTGTAAAATAGCAAAAAAAAAATTGCATAAAATAATAAGATTAATAATTATGTAAAATACACTCTTAAGAATGGTGTCATCTCTGTATGGGTATAATCACTATATCCTTTTGTCATTTCACTTTCTTCCCTTCCATTCTTTTCCTTCTTCCCCATTTCTCCTCTCCCTTTCTTTATCCCTCCCTTTCTTCCTCTTTCCTTTCTTTCTTGAAAAAATTCCAATGCCATGGGGACACTGGATGAATAAGACCCACATCTAGGGATATACCTGGTTATGCCCACAAATTTTAAAGTCATGCAGAGTGCTGAAAATCAGTCATTTCAGCCCAGGGTTTTAAAGATAAGAAATTGATATGCTGTACAAAGTGTTTAAATATAAATACTCGTTAGCTTGTTGAACTCTCATGTAACATGTATTTTGTATCCTTAGTCTACAGGCAACGTATACATTCCTTTTCGCTCCTATTAGAATATAAACATTATGAGAGTGACAATATTGTCTCACTCCTGCTTTGCACTGAGCAGTCATTCAACGACTACAAACAAATAAAGCATGCTTGAAGTTCCAAGAAAAACGGTGGTCATTTTTCTTTTGTTTACTGTTTAATCCCTAGTGCTAGTTCTGTGTGCAATAAGACATGAATGAACCACCTGGGTCTGTCTTTGGAGTGATTTCAGCAGTAGCTGACAGCATTACAAAGGGTGTTTTCTGTGAGTGAGAGTCAGCCCCTTCCTGGCTGTGGTGGTTCTTGGTCCTCCTTCTGATGGTTGCTGACCTAGGGCCACTGACTGAAGACACACTAGATCTGTGGGCTGGGCCTCACCAGCCACAGCAGGAGATGCTGTAGCCTCTAATCTCTGAGGTTGAGGGGGATGGAGGCTGGCAGAGAGAGTAGGATTAGCCAAAAGAATAAAGAGGACAGAGGTTCTCAACTGGGGGCGATTCAACAATGTCTGGAGGCAATTTTGGTCATCACACTAGGGGTTGCATTAGGTGGATAGAGGCTAGGGAAGCTGCTAAACAAGGATCACTGGAAAGGTCCCCACAACAGAGAGTCATTTGATGCAATGTGTAAATATTGCTGAGGATGAGACACCCTGAGCTAGGCACTGGGTTGTAGACTTTGTTCCAAAAAGGAGGTTGTGATCTGTAGACAACTCATGGACAGTAAACTCATCCCACTTAAATTTCCCCTGGCTTTCACAGTCTTGTTTGCTTCCATTACTAGTGGCTCCCAACACCTGGTAACACCTTGCTCCCTAGCAGTCTCCTGTTTTCTTCCAGCTCTGCCCCTTGGACAGAGAAGAACATCACAGGGAGTGGGCTGCAGTTTATTCTCCTCATGGTCACCAGCAGAGTTTTCTCCTAACTAACATCAAATCCATGCATTTTTAAGTGGCTGAGGCTGGTTCTCGGGTGAGACCTCAAGTCAATATCTTCTGAAATATTGAAGATATTGGGGGGGATGTCTCTGAGCGTTAATCAAACATCCGCAGGAGCGAAGATTCTACAAATCAAAATAATGTCTGCATTATTGTGAGAGGGAAGCAAAAGATTCAGAGAAGGGAAACTAACCTGACTTTCAGAGAAGGGCCACAAAGAGGGAGGGAGGGAGGTGGTCAGATCCCAGGTAGGAAACGGGAGGTAGGCTGCTGCTGGCACAAGAATGACTGCCAGGGACACTTCCTGGAGGCAGCATGGCCATTCTCTCAAACCATCCCCAGAAATTCCAAACACACCTTTGTAGGAACAAGTACAGGACATGAAAAAGGAGGAGGCCGTGTTAGTGGAGATCCTGAGAATGGGGGAAATGATTATAGGCTGTGACTTCACAGGCGCAGCACCACCCAGTGGCAGTCCTCACTTTTTGCCATAGCAGACCAGCATCCTGAGCTGGGTTTTGCCTGATCCGCCTCATTCTGCCATGGGCTCCAGGATCCTCTGCTTTGTGGCCTTCTGCCTCCTGCAAGCAGGTGAGTCCTGAGCACAGGTGACATGGCCCTGTTTGGGTCTCTGAGTCCTTCCACCCTGCCTACCACAACAGGCTTTCTCCTGGGACTTTCCAGAATTCTGCTTCTTTCCTTCACAGGCCCTGCAGACACAGCCGTTTCTCAGACTCCAAAATATCTCATCACGCTGATGGGAAATAAAGAGTCACTTGAGTGTGAACAGAGACTGGGCCATGATACCATGTACTGGTATAAGCAGGACTCCAAACAATTTCTGAAGTTAATGTTTAGCTACAATAATAAGGAACTGATTGTAAATGAATCAGTTCCAAATCGCTTCTCACCTGAATCTCCAGATAAAGCTCATTTAAAGCTTCACATCAAATCTCTGGAACCAGGCGACTCTGCTGTGTATCTTTGTGCCAGTACTCAAGACACAGTCCTGCAGAGTCACTGCCTTCCTGTGCATAAACCTCCTGGCTCAGCCAGGAAGTTCTGGGGGCAATGTGTTAACCAGTGCCCTGAGACTCTGCTCTGTATTTCCTATTGACCCCCTGATGTAGTTTCGAACCAGTCAGGCAGGTCCAGTCAGGCAGTTTTGCACACCAAAGTCTTCTGGAATTCTATCTATCAGCAACAATAAGAGTTTGCAATAAAGTCACTGAAGTACTAGGACTCAACACATTAAAAGGGAGCTTTCCTGTTAAATGAAGAGCTTAATTGATGGAAGAAGCCATTTCTCGTCTTTGTTGTATGTAACATTATGATTGAAAACACACTATTGCTAAAAGTGTTTGGTAAGTACAAGCAGAAAAAGCCAGGGGGAAGGCAAGCGTTTCCAAGATCAAAAGGAAATTTAGATAATCAGTGAGTACTTTGTTTAACAACAAGAGTAAAAGTCTTCAAGGAAGCACAAAAGTCCATGGCAAGACATAAACTAGTAAGAAAGGAACTGGGAGAAGTCAGTCAAGACCAACTTGTTGCTGTGTAGAATCCTTTCCTTCAAGAAGGATGAATAGCATGATTCTCTCTCAATTCTGACCGAATGTCAACTTTGGACCTTCACCAAAAGAAGGCAACAACCAGTGGAGGAGGATATTGAGACTTGGAAAGGACTTCGGACACAAATCTCTAGGCAGTAGTTAGCCATTGGAGGGAATCAGCATACTCACTATGTCTCTCCACTCTCCCTGGGTCAGAATGCCAACATCTTCCAGCTCTGGGCATCCTCTGAAATCTCTGTCCAACTCTCAAACTTTCAAGAACTTGTCCCCTACTCAGTCTTATAAGATCTCACCCTCTGCATACACCACTTAGGAAGTGACCCAGAGCAACAACAAAAAGGAATTTCTTATAACTATTCTTCTTTTTTTAATCAATATTTTGTATTATGATGTTGTGGGGTACAGTTAAGGGTTACACATACAAATATACTTCATTTAGGCCCCCTTGTTGATAACAGGTGTCTCCCCGAACCCAGACAGATGTTTACTAACATTAGTCCCACCCCCTTTCCCCTCCCCCCATAGTTTCCCCCACCACTGTCAGTCATTTTCTTATGGTAGTGCGTTGGATGATCAAGATCCACTATATGAGTGAGAACATGTGATACTCAGATCTTTGTTTCTGTGAGAGGTCACTCAGTATTATAGACTCTAGTTACATCCAGGTTGCTGCAAAATTCATGCGGACAACATGATTGTGTACCTTGAAAACCCAAGAAAATCTGTCAAAAACCTCCTTGCACTGATAAAGGACTTTAGCAGAGTCTCAGGGTTAAAATAAGTGTACAATCACATTTCGGTTTTTTTTGTGTTTTTTTTTGAGTTGGAGTCTCACTCTGTCACCCAGACTGGAGTGCAGTGGCCGCTCCCGGCCACCGCAGCCTTGCCTGCTGGGCTCTGGCGATCCTTCCGCCTCAGCCTTCCGAGTAGCCGGAATTACAGGCATGCGCTACCACGCCCAGCTGATTTTTTGGTTTATTGTAGAGATGAGGTCTTCCTGCCCAGGCGGGTCTCGAACCCGCGGGGCTCAGGCAATCCACTCATCTCAGCCTCCCAAAGGCGCGGGATTACAGGCTGAGCCACTGAGCCCGGCTCAATCACATTTCTTTACACCAATAACAAGCAAACAAAAACCCAAATAAAAGCACAATCCTATTCGCAATAACCACAGAGAAAATGAATACCTTGGCATCTTCCTAACCGGAGACATGAAAGAACTCTACAATGAAAACTACAAACACTGCTCAAAGAAATCAAAGATGACACAAACAAGTGGAAAAATATTCCATGCTCATGGATTAGAAGAAGCAACATTGTGAAGATGTTCATCTTACCTAAGGCAATCAGATTTAATGCAATACCCATCAAATTACCAGCAACATTCTTCTCTGTTCTAGGAAAAAGATACAGGAATTCATATGGAAACAAAAATACCAAGAATAGCCAGAACAATCCTCAGCCAAAAGAACAAAGCGGGAAGTATCACACTATCAGACTTTAAACTTTACTAGATTGTTCTAAAATTTGGCTTAAACTCCTTTTCTTTAATTTTTTTCTTTTTTGAGTTGGAGTCTCACTTCGTCACCCAGGTTGGAGTGCAGTGGCATACTCACAGACACCCCGGCATTGACCTGCTGGGTCAGGCCATCCTTCTGCCTCAGCCTTCCAAGTAGACAGAACTACTGGCACATGCTACCAAGCCTGGCTAATTTCTTGATTTATTGTAGGGATAACGTCTTGCCAAGTTGCCCAGGCTGATTACGAACCCATGGACTCAGGCAATCCCCTCACCTCAGCCTCCCAAAGTGCTGGGATTACAGGCTTGAGCCACCACTACCGGACTTAAACTCCTTTTCAAAAACCTTTCTCCAACTGCAGCAATTCTCAAATGATAATTGCTTTTCTACATAGTCTTTGCTGATAAGAACAGTCTGTAGTTCAATATTTTATGATGAGTCAGATATTATATGGTATTTTTTAAAGAGTCTTTCATTTTAATATTGGTTGTTTCTCACCCTCTAGAATATTCACACACAGTAAAAACAAAGACATATACCCCATTTTTAAAATGTGTATTGTTTTGTTTTATTTTTTCACACAGGGGGGTCTATTGCAGTCTAAGTCCTGTAGATTTGCAGTCAGTGAGTGTTTGGAGTCCAGAACAGAGCATGGAACCAGTCCTCCAGGAATTTGGATTTCAGGGAAGGCCCTCAAGTACTGAAAAGAGAGCATCTGGCTATGGCTCTGAAGCCTGTGGTTCTAGCAAGATGAATGGAGGTGGTTAGAATGTTTGCACATCTGGAGTGTTGGAAGGCAACTCCCAGCATCCACTTTCAAGGAAGGAAATGGTAAGATGCATGTGGTGGGCTACCAGGAACAGTTGCTCTCACAACTTTAAAGAGCTCTGCAAAGACTGGCAGGTGAGGAGGGGACTGTGCTAGGAAGATGGAAAAAGAAAGTGAAGATCAAATCCAGTAAGGGAGACAAGTGTGTCACATAGTGGGCGGTCATATGGGAGGGAAGAAAAGAAAGGGAGCATCTAGGGCTTCTAGAACCACTAAGTTGGCATTGTATCCTGGAGAACAGTGTAAAAAAGGACAGAGACATGCAAAGGGCTCAGAGAAGCCCAGACAAATCAAGTATATGTTTATTAACCCCAACCCTGACTTTGTATGCTGGGAAGATCAGTTAAGGTCCTGAAGTCTCTGTCACACATTGCCCATATTAAGTGTCTTAAATTACGCAATGAACACACCATGGCACAAATATTTTTGCTGTCAGAGGACTCAGCTGGTGCATTCCTTTGTATCTGAGTAGAAGAGAGACCCAGTAAAAAGTGGGAGGTGATAGAAACCGTGCAAAAGAGGAGGATGTCCCCACAGGAATGGGAGGTGAGAGTACAAATTGCATGAGAAAAGCAGCCTCCTGCAGATTGTGAAAGGCCTCGTGGTCTGAGAAGGGCACTATGTGCGGCTGGGCATGCCTTGTGTGGGGTGTTGGAAACTGGACTGAGGTGAAGAGGGTTTCAACTTGGGTGATCTCTCTGGCACAGGAAGTCAGAACTTAAATAGAGGAGGGAGCAAAGTTGCAAGGGAGAAGGGGTGGCAGCCACAGCATGCATGGTTACATGAGAAGGATCTGATGAAATATATAAATCTATTGAGGATAAGAGAAGCTATGTTTCTCACTGTTGGATAAAGGAGTTGCGAATATGGGAAGTAGAACACTGAATGAACCTTCTAATATAGGATTGCCACCAAGTAATATTGTAAACTCATCACTTCTCAAGATGTATAGATATGGAATTAAAGATACATGTAAGTGTGTATACATTTATGTACATATATGGATATATATTCCCTAGGTATGTTCACTGTGATGCCCAAGAGTGGTGTTACCCCCAAAAGAACCCCAGAAGACCTAGAACCCATGCCCTGTTTTCTTTCTTTTTTCAATGAGTAAGTAAGAATTAATTATAAGATAGGAAAGCTCCTGGCATCATGAGAGGATCCGAAAACGGGTTGCCCCATGTCCTGTTTTCCAAATACCATTCTCCATCAAAAGGAGTCAGGTCTCTGGAGAAATAGTACATACCAAGACTGAGGCAGGAAAAGCTTAAGGTAACTTCTTGTGCCATAAAGCAAGGATGTGCTCAGAGAATGATGAGGAATCTCACAGAAAGGAGGGTTTAAGAAGGAAAACAATTCCTCTGTTCCCTTATCTCCTTTGTACAATGCTTGATACACATTGAAAAAATAGCACCAAAAGCTCATTGCATGCTAAGCAAATTTATTTTTTTATTTTTATTTTTATTTTTTTTTTGAGTTGGAGTCTCACTCTGTCGCCCAGACTGGAGTGCAGTGGCCGCTCCCGGCCACCGCAGCCTCGGCCTGCTGGGCTCCGGCGATCCTTCCACCTCAGCCTTCCGAGTAGCCGGAATTACAGGCATGCGCCACCACGCCCAGCTGATTTTTTTGATTTATTGTAGAGATGAGGTCTCGCTGCCCAGGCGGGTCTCGAACCCGCGGGCTCAGGCAATTCACTCACCTCAGCCTCCCAAAGGCGCGGGATTACAGGCTGAGCCACCGAGCCCGGCTAGCAAATTTATTTTTATCAGTAATTTTCCATCCTCATCTTGAGACCATGCCCTGATATCTACAAATCCACCAATACAGATATTCAGTGCCAAAAATATCACATTCGGAACACAATTTTTCAAATGGTTAGACCTATCCTGCATAAGTTGTCTCTCACTATTTTTCTTTTCATTCATCTATTCCGTGATTTCTTGGGCAAACATAAATGAAGTGCCCGTACCCTGTACAATATTGCAATAGGAACCAGGGCCATGTAAGTTTTGGCACAGCAGCGAGTGAACTTCTTTGTGGAAGTCTACCCTGATGGACTTATACTGTTTTAGAACTGTGCAACAGTTGGAGATAATTATTTCAGCCACTCCCCACATCCAGGTTTTATGGATGAGAAAATAAGATAGTCAGAAATGAAATGATTCAGGCACTTAAATGCCAATGACATTTTACACATG